TTCTTGTAATGTGACCGTATTTTTATTCGTCTAAATACGTGGTAGGATCCTTTAAGCCGACAGCTGGTCTCTCCCGCAGTTAGAAAAAACAACAACAAAAAGCATAAGTCTTGACTCACATAAGTGATTTCAAATTTCCAATGAAAGGATAAAAATGAGAATGAATGAATTGCAGCTCTGAGCTTTAATTGCTTTTTCATGATCCAGCAATCCTGCAGGAAAATGCAGCGTAAAAAAGCCCAATTAGAGTCTTTTCACTTTGTGCTGGAGACAGCAGGGTTCAGGCTGATTGTCTTTCTCTGCTAGTTGCTCTGCTCCAGAAGGTGATACTGGGTTGGACCCCTGTTACCCTCCGAGCCTTCTGTTAAATTTGGCAGAAAAAACACCAGGGCTCAAGGAAGAACAAAGGCGTGCCGGTTTTTCACCATAGAACCAGAAAAAGAATCCCTGAAGAATGGATTAATTTGGTCTAATCGAGGAGACCCATTCCATGCTTACTCTAGCAATGAGAGCTATTGGAGCAAGCAGGAAGCAGCTCTCCTTATTAAACTGCCTAAAATGGCTCGGAAGTTCTTTAGCATGCTCCCTCTATACAGCAGATGCTCTGCATTAATTGGTCTATGAAGGCCTGACCTGGGGTTCTGTGCGAGGGCTTTGAGAAGCATATTTAGTATTTGCTATAACCTGGCGTACATGATGTGTGCACTCGAGGGCCGTATTTCATATTATACAGTTCTTAATGTTGTGTGTGCTTCGGGGAGCCGGTGTTTGGGAGGTAATGTTTTAACAGCAGGTAAGTCCTAAACACCATTCATCAGAGGCCTGCTCTCTCCCCTCATCCGGCCACAGCCATGACTGATGGGCCTGTCTTTTGTATGAATGTTTAGCACAGTGGAAAGCCATATGCCACTGGCACCGACTACTGCCCAACACCTCCTACTGTAGCAGTGGTGGAGAGAAGAAGGAGAAGAAGAAAGTCAGAGAGAACAGCAGAATGAGAGGACAAGAGGAAGGGAAATGAACAAGAGAAAAACTGGACTTACTACTCACCACCTGAAAGAGCAGCTTGAAATTCAACAGCACCTACAAGGGCAAAACTTTAAATACACGTCATGAGCCTTTGCATACAACACGGATGCATGTATACATACACTCAGCTACACAAGTTAATAGTGGTAGAGATGTATTTTTAATAAGAGAAGCGGTGGTGGGAGGTGAGAGGGGAGGTGGTGCTGGGCTGGTCCATCTGTCCCAAGCAGCCTCTCTCCCAGTGCTGCTGCCGCCCCCTCGTGAGAGAAGCACAGCTGTTACTGGAAAGCCCTACTGTCCAGAAAAGGGCCTCGCACTCCTCCCCTCCACCCTCCATCCCCTCTGTCCCTCCACCTCTACGCCCAAACACCCCTGCAAGAGGATGAAACGAACCAGCGAGCCCAGCCACTGTGCAGTCAGCCTGCGCGTCTGCAATTTCAAACCTCTTTAGATCATTTTTCATGCTCACCAGAAATGAATAATGCACACATTAACTGGTGCCAGTTAATAAATTTCCGTCTCACTGCACTATATTTTTCAATAAGGGTCTAGCTGCTTCGTTTTGTTTTGCAAAACAGCCTCAGAAGGCTCCTGCTGCAAATTATCCCAGCCCACCCCCCACCACCCCTTTTCATCCGCAGCCAGAGAGCCTTAGCTTGACTCAAGAAATGATAAAAATGATCATAAATCGGCTTAAATTTCCACTGTTGCATGCAAATGTCAGAGTATATCAGCCTTTTTGTTGTATCCATGAGCATTTAGTGCGTTTCTCAGCTGCAGATAATACACCACAACGTTTTTCACAAGAGTGCATCCTCAACATTCAGCCCCCAGGGCACCGCTACATAGAAACAGAATCAATCTTGGGGAACTTCCAGGCTTTGTAAGGGAGCCAAATTGGCAGACCATGTCTGTTATATCAGTTCAGCAAAGCCCTGGCTAGCATCTGGCCACACTGGACGTTTTATAGCCCATCTCTAACTATTAATCATTGGCCGCGACATCACAGACTCTCAAGAGGGTGGCTGGATGCTCCGTTACAGCGAACGCCACTGAAAATGCCAGGGCATGTAGACACGACGGTCCCAATACCCACTGACAGTAGCCCTCCTTAAAATGACAGAGTGCATCCAAGCCAGACGGACAGAGTGGTGTCAGGGAAGCGCTGTGACAGGCGAGGGGACCCCTCCGAAAATGCCACCGTGCCCTAGTGGCCTACAGTGTTGTAGTGCACTGGTAGTATCTGTTCTGAGGTCGTGTCATGTAATATGATCTAGATGAAGCGGACAGGGTGGGTCCCTCTCCAGGATGTGGATGGGGTGTCAGACAAGCTGCTCCTCTAATAAGGGCTGCCATTCTAATGATCACTCAGTCAGCCTAACCTCTGACCCCTACTGTTATAAGAAACAGAGGGAGGGGCAGGCTGGGATGGTGGGAAGGACTGCGGGTTCAAATGCGCAGTATTTACATCAATTAGACAGGCAAGATGGAGGTGCCCATCAGAGCCCATTAGGATTGTTGTGGTTGGGGGGGGGGGCAGGAGGGAGGGACAGTGGGGGCCGCGCAGAGGCCCAGCGGACACATCACAGGACTGCCCTTGATCACATCCTGTCACATTGATGAGAACTCTGTCAAAGCCACTCGTACACATGTACAGTATGTTTGTGACTGTGCTTCAAGCTGCCGTGCCTGCTTCCTGTGCTTCGTCAAATTAAATCTCGAGGTTTTCTCGACAATGCGGCTAAAATCATGAATTCAAAAAAGGTTACCGTTCTCGCAATCCCGGGGCGACCATCACGCCTGTTCCCTCTGCTGCTTCATTTAATGGACATTTTATTGTAGCAGTTTGGATAAGCCCTGTGTTTCTTTATTTTGTTGGGGGGTGGTGGCTGTTGGTGCTTATCAGATGCAAAATAGCACACCTGCTGTTCCAAAACACCCTCACTGGATTCAAATTAGTGCTCCCCTGCTTCTTGTTCTTCTGTTGAATGTGCTGCGGCAACAAAGGGATGACAATGTGTTTTTTATAACGAGTTTGTTGAATTTACTATTACAGATTTTGGCTGTGAACAATCAAGACGTGGCTCTCCCGAATCCATTGATTACAATGATCAAAACTCATCAGTGTGATTAATAGAACACAATAAAGCACCCCTCCTGAGAGCTGATTTCATTATATCATTGTGACGGAGCATCCAAGCAGGTAAAAGGTGTACAGTGGAAACCCGGAGAACAAGGAGAGGACTTCATAAGGCTGTAGTATCCCATCTTTTATTAATGTCACTCCCTAGGACAGCAGGTTTTTGTCAGTCAGAATGGATAATGAAGATGTTGGCGGGGTCGGTGAATCCATCCCTTTAATACTCACATATTTTATGATAATGAAAGGTATTCAAAGAATGATTATGATAAAAGTGGGCTCCCCCACTGATGTGCCAGCACAGCTGTGCAGCTAGACAGTCAGCTGCAGGCACCCAATGAAAGGATCACACGGAAAGTAAAGAAAGGATCCATATGAACATAAAGCGAATAGCTGATGGTTTTGGAGCCGGCCGTGCATCGGCGGCACTGCGTGTTACACTGCATGACGAAAAATAATACGAGGGAAGAGCTTTCAGTCTCGAATGTCACTATCCAAACCTTTTTGATCTTGTTCTGTCTGCATTCGCTCCATAGCATGAAGTCCTTTCACCATACTGACCTTTACATGAGTCTTGTTGAAACAGGTTTCATCTTTAACTAAACAATACTTGGGACTGTGCCGTACTGTACAGGCTATTTGTTGTGCTTTCGGCTTTATCTATCGCAAACTCTTTACATCAAAGCAGCGGAAATAAAAACAGAGTTGAGTAAGAAGGAAATTTCATCATGTGATATTAGTTGCATATTTAGGGGGACGTCGACGGTCGTGTGTGCTGTGGCACCCCCCGACGTGCGTATCAGTAACATCTCCCGAGCATCAAAGCATCAACTGGTGTATTGTACTGTATGTGTAAACAAACTCAGCAAAGCCATACCAGCCCGCCAGAGCTTCAAAAGTTCCCTGCGAGCTGTAGGAAGCAGGTGAAAAAATAGAAGTGCGTTGAACTTTGACCCCGGGTGCACACTTGTTGACTGATGTTTCACACTGGGGTCGCCTTTTCCCTCAGCGGCATTCTTCCAAGACCGTCATTCCTTGTGTGCGAGTGTGTATGTGTGTGCGTGCATGCATAGTCCCCGGGGAGATCATCCCCTTCTCCCTTTGAAGGCTCTGCGCTATAGAGCTGTTTTCATACAGCACCGGCCATGGGTTTCCTGTCTCGGCTGACCCCTCGTCTCCTTGTGGACACTTCAGAAAAACTTCCCAGCACAAACACCTTTCTCCCATTAACTACAGAGGCTTCAGCAGAGGCAGGGAGCTAAAGGGGGTTTTGAACCTCAGAGTGCCACATCACTCAGGAACAAAGAGACGGGCATTAAAAAACAAACATGATAACCACATTAGCCCACCGGTGGTCAGCGCTAGCCAGCTGATGCCTCTCACAGACTGTTTTTCCTGCTTGAATTAAGACTGCATTTGTGATTCGCAGATTCGTGGTCAAAGCTGTAGCAGCTCTTCAGCACAGGGACATTTGGAACTCCTGAGAAAGGGCCAAATCAAATAACTTTTACAACAAATTCTCTGGACTCACACATGCCTGGTGCTCGGTCCAGCTGACACAACACAGGGCAAGAGATGAAAAGAGGATGGGGTTCACCGTGGATCAGTTCCACATGGCCTTCAAATGGAGCAACAAAAGCAGCACAGCGCGGACGACCATGTAACCAGTATAGGCATCCAGCACACCTGCCCCAGACACATTTCACACCCATGAAATCAAATTAGACACTTGGTACACAAACAGTCTCGCAAACTTGCAACTGTGCAACATATTGCTTTTTCCCGTTTAAGAGTTCTTGTTCCCCCGAAAGAACAAAACTAGAGCCCGACACACAGATCATGGTCTTTATTTCCAAATGGTACAAAGCCAGAATTAGTGAGATAAAATAATACAAAGTGGAACAATGGAAAAATTTGTTTTACGGTAGGCAGGGGTTCCAGTGAGGCTCCCTCAGGGCGCGGGGCGTTTAAGCTGGTCCAGTTTGCGTCGCAGCATGTTATAGTTGTCTCTGGTCCCAGGAGCCTCGGGGTCCAACTTTAGAGACAGCTCGTAGTGTTTCTTTGCCAGCTCCAGCTTTCCCCAGCGATGATACAGCACAGCTGAGGGGAAAAACAGAAACGCAATTCAAGCTGAGAGGCAGTGACCAGTCTAATTCTATTCATTTAGTGCGTTTAATACAGGTCAGATAGGCTGCACAATATTTCTTCTGCTGGCATGCACAATTATCTTTTTAAGCGTTTGATCGCCTGGAATCTCTTAAATATGTGACACAGGCAAAGTTGCAGTAGCTTACCTAGATTGCCATGGCAACTAGCAGCATTTGGGTTGATCTGGAGAGCATGAAGGAAGAAGCCCTCTGACTCCTGAGGACAAAAACCCCAACAACAAAACACACAGAATTATTTTTCCCTTTACAACACAAAGAAATGTACTACTTCTGGCTGAAAGCAAAAGACTCTGTGAGGAATAAAATCATCAACATGCATGAAAAATAATATTCAGAGTCAAAATGTTTACACGACTCTGACTGACCTTATATTTCTGTAATTTCCCCAGGACATTAGCCAATGAAAACATGATCGTGTGGTCGTTGGGGAGGAGCCTCAGAGCCTCTCGGCCGATCAGCTCTGCTTGACCTAAGTTACCTCGAAGACAGACGAGTACAAACAATGTCAAAATGTGATTTTTCTGTGATACACACCACTGCTCACATGTATTTAAGTGTAATTTACTCAACATATATGCTGTTAAAATGGTGTGTAAACATTCATACGCAGTTAACAAAACAAATCCAGAGATACATTTGTAAATAACAGCTGGTGTAGAGAGAATCTGACTGCTTGCTTTATTTGTCAGCAGTGTCTAAAGCAGAGTTTTTCCCTCTCCACACATGGAGGAGCGGTTTAGTCTCCTAATTAAGGTTGAACACAAGGCCCACTGGGTTATTGATCTCTGTCACAGACCCGTCTGATGTCTGGCCAGAAAATGGAGAAAGCGCGAGAGAGACAGACAGTCGGAGAGACAGACAGAGAGACAATGACAGTCACGTCCTGAGTCATGGCCTGTGCCCTTCAGACACAGCTTGCCAACATGCGCCTACATGTGTGACTGTGTCTGAGCGCCTCTGCCTGAATCTACACTGATTCTGCCTTTTGTTTGTGTAATGATCAAAACAAAAGAGGGGGGGTTTGAACACCAAAGAGAAAAGAATATTCCCAATTCCTTGCTATTTGAAAATGACACCTATTGTTCTTCTTTTCTCTCCTTTCTTTTTTTTTTTTGTTTGGTGGGGGAGCTGGGGAGAGGGGTAGAATTATTTCTGTCAGATTTGGGGAACAAATGCGGTGGGGGGACTCTGAGGGGGCGCTGTTCTGGCTGTGCTTGCCCACGTTTGATCAGGAACATACTGGGCCCTGATTGGATGGTTCCAGTGCCCTCCTGGGAGACTCCGCCCCCACGGGAGCGGCTTCTGACAAAACGGCTCGAGCGTTTGGAAATCAGAGCATTCTCCACACGGCAGGGAAGAGTGCCTTCAAAACTCACAACACAAAGCTTTAATACATAAATTTCAAGCATTGCTGATTCCTGCTCTTCCGGTCTAATCTTGTTGGCCATTTAGATTTCCTGCCTTTCCAAAATAACAACGCTGTGTTTCTTGGCTGTTAATGCTGGAACAAGCTGCATCCAGAACACAGAGTTCTTTCAAAGTAGTCACTTTACACAATGCACTTCACTTTTCTTAGATAAATATAATCTAACAAATGGGTAAAGCTTATTATTATCATACTAATTTAATATATTTATTACTATTACATGTCATTACATATTTTATTTACACAGTATGACACTAGTGTTGTCAGGATACTGAAATTTCTAACTTCCCTGACAAAAAATATATCAATATTTAACACCATTTTCAACACTATAAATATAACCAGGGGTAAAAATTAACTTTTTTATCCACCTGTCACTGTAACTGGTCGATACAAAATCTACTGACCACTCAGTAGATTACAGTTGGGTTTTTTCGACTGGTGAGTGGCACAAATCTAGCAGCCACTTGCATGATTTACCTGCAGTTGGCTGGTGCTAACTGTCAACCCTGAATATAACAATCAATAACACAATAACAATCAGCTTTCTTTTCGTGGTTAGTAGTAGGGATGTTTCTGGCGACTAATTTCCCTGTCGACTAAACGAAAATTTCAATTAAGAGGAGTCGATTAGTCTCAAAAAGGGAAAACATGAACATGAACGTGAACATGACGGCAACTAAAATAACATCTAAAATAAATAAATCACCTCTGAAATGTGGGGCACATTGAACCTTGCAGATTATCTGACAGAAATGATAGCAATTCACTTTAAAGTTAATAAAACAACTAAATTATAATCAAATTCCAGCTGAAATGAGAGGCATTATGCTCCGTGCAGTATGAATGTAAACCCTGCACATTATCCGACAACAACTCACTTAAAGTTAACAAATAATATAACATCTCAAAAAAGATAAATTGCTGCTGGATTAATTTTCTAGATCAAAGTACTGCCAAACCACGCTGGTTTTGCGAGAGGACATCTCTCCGATTTCCCACCGTGCTGTTTGAAAACTCCAGTCTACTCGAGCATTACCGCAGCGAGGGCGACTGCTGTCTGATGGCTCTGTAGCACCCACTAGTGGCGAGCGGCTGCATGACAGTTAAGTGGCCTTGTACAAGAATAAAACACTAATTGGTTTAACCGACTAATATTTCTGGTGCCGACTAGCGAGGGGGCGGACATTTAATCGTTTCAATGGCTAATTGCGAGCATCCCTAATCAGTATTGCAGAAAACAGATTACAAAAATATATTACAATTGATTTTAAGATGCTTAAATAACTTTAAAAGCTCAACATGGTTTAGCGAGTTTATAGCTAAGCCTCTGACTACGTGTGCTCCAAGTCGTGACCTGAGATCCTCAAACCTGCCCTCACTAGTTGTCCCCAGATTGAAGTTGGTAACTAAAGGTGACTGGGCTTTTGCCATCAAGGCCCAAAGGCTGGCTAGCTTGCTAGCTTTCCGTTTTTAAATCATTGCTTAAAACATATTTTCATAGTAAAGCTTTCCCTGTTTTCCCCTTTACTTTTGTGATTTGTAACTTTTGTGTTTTATTTTCTTTGCATTGTTTTGTTCTCATATTTTTACGCACTCTGTGAAGCACTTTGTGGCCTTGTTTAGATTAGTACTGTACAAATAAAATAGTATTATTATATTATCATAAAAAATGAGTACTGAATACTTTTCAAATATTCTAAATCGATATGCGTCGATTAATGGATATTTCTGACAACAGTATATCACAGCAATTATAGTATTTCTGATATTAAAGACACATTAATCAGCATTGTAAATGAAGAGGTTGTCTTGTGTTAATCTGTATATTAGAAGATCTCTAAATCAGAATGATAGCTGGTTTCAGTGTCTGTGATGTGTGGTATCTTTGTGCGTGTGTGTGCGTTTTGTTAATACCTGTGTTGTCCAGCAGTATGACCATGTTGTTCCAAGCCAGACTGTGGTCAGGTTTTAGCACAGTTGCGTTCCTCCACGCGTTCAGAGCATCCACATGTCTGTTCAGGTCGGCATACTGTCATGACAAGAGACATACACTGTTTCTCTATGTGTGATGTGTGATAAAAAACCAACCAATAAATATAAGTTTTATTATTTTTAATTTGGTTTAAATTTTAGGATTTGAGTTGTAGAGGAGCACCGAATAGAACTGATTATAACCTTTATTTCTGTTTGTTAAAGCTGCTGTATTTTTTAACACCCTTGTGTCTCACCAAGCGTCCCAGGTTATAGTAGCAGTCTGGGTATTTTTTCCGGAAGCGGATGGCGTTCCAGTAGCTCTGCTCTGCTTCCTCAAACTTCTGCAGACTGTTCTGAACTATACCCAGATTCATCCATGCTGCAGCAAAGTCCGGCCTACACAGATTAAAAAAAATACATTCAGTAGGGAGCTTTTTCAAGATATCTGGAGTGAGTAAAATAAATTGGTTGTCTGTCTGTAGTGAGCAGAGTGTTCCTATGTGTTGGGCGACGTACTGAATAGAAACGGCTTTAGACAGCAGCTGCTCTGCCTCGATTAGCTCGTTCCTCTCCTTCAGGATATTCCCCAGGTTGTTCATGGCGTGGACGTACGTAGGATGCAGCCTAAAAGCCACAGAGAGAATACAGTTAACATGACTCAGCCCTCTCAGCTAGCAAGTAGCTGATTGGATTGCCACTGCTTGTGAGGAGACAAACCTGACTGCCTCTCTGTAATACGCGATAGCAGCAGTAGAGTTGCCTCTGTCAGCCAGGTTCTTTCCGACATTATAATGGACCTGAGGAAGCAGTCGTCAACACATGAGGCAAGCATCAGAGTGTTTTTAATTACTTGGCTGCAATCTGTTTCCACATGTGGACAAATGTTTTACTGACACATGCTGTATTTACCTTGGCATTGAGCGGACAGACAGACAGCGCACTGGTGAAGAGGCTTTGCTCTGACCGCCACTGGTGACTGCGCAGAGCACAGCGAGCTACATACACACACAACAGCGCGAGCACCGACACAAACAGCGGCTTCTGGAAAAGAAGACATTCAACAAACACGTACTGTAAATCATTATAACCCTTAAGCTTAAAAATCAATTATCTGTGACTCAGAGTTAATAGCCTGCAAATGTATCTGTGTAACACGTGGACGCCACCTGCTGTCATCATCCCTTTATAGGTGAGTCATTAGTCATTTCTCATGCCTGCCCCTGCTCTGCATCACTGAGTTACTGAATCGTTAAAGCTGCGTTAACAGATGGTGAAATAAAAGAGTTGGAAACCAGGACGGTGGTGGCTCATAGAAACAGAAAGGTCACTGGGTTGTTGGAAAGTGAGGGTTCGACAGGATGTGGTATGCTTTACTTAGATGTTATGATTCAGCCCTACCCTGTATTTGGACCAGCGGCAGCAGCAGTGTCCCACAGAGTAGGCCAGCAGTAGGCAGTAGCCAGCTGAAGACAGGTAGAGCACTCTCTCAGCAATGACGAAGCCCACCCTGAAAAAAATGTTACAGGCCGGCAGGAAGGGGACCACCAGCAGCACCAGACCCAAGGTCAGTGTCCTGGCAGGGAGAGAAAGAGGTCACTAAATGCCAGACGGTTATATACATGTGTGTGACACTTTAAAATGGCGGTCTGACACTGTATGTAGGCTCAATAAACACAGGAAACTTTCCCTGTGAAGCACACACTCAGTCTGTCTCTAAACCAACAGAGAATTTTAAAACTCAATCCAGACTTGGTGCTCCGGTCACACTGCGCTGGATATGGTACAATTTTCATAATGAAGTGTAAAGTCTAGAGAGGCCAACATGTACTTCGTTTCATCTGCAGCGAGTGCGAGATGGCAGTGCTCGCTTACCTCCTTCTCTGGCTGTCCTGCGAGCATAAGGCTTGGCTTATCAAGCCTATCAGGACGCACCAGAGCAGCAGCAGCCACACCATCCTCCAATCAGTGGCTGACTTAATGAGAGGCACACAGCCCATGGACCAATCAAAACACAGCCACCAGGGACACAGCAGCAGCCAGGCATTCAGAGAGTAGTAGTAATTATAGTTCACTATCTGCCAATCAAAGAGGAGCGGGAGGGGGGCAGAATGGGAGAGAGTAGGGGAAGATGAGGGAGGAAAAGCATTTCAAATTCAGAATCAAAGTCAATCACTGCGTTTCATGATGAAGATTACTTGGGGCAAACCTAATATTAGACGTTTGATTAGACCTAAACTATGACCGAATGAAATACGCTTCATTTACAGTCAGTTCATTGCTGCATAGATCCTAACATACATTCAAACACACAGTTCACCCAATTAAACTGATAACAACATGATATTACTATATATGATGGAGATCAGTGATACTCAACTTACAGCCCGTGGGCCAAATCTGGCCCTCAACAGGGTGCCTGATGGCCCCCAACTATTTTCTAACTCACAATGAAAATACACTGATTCACACTGGGATTTTTTTGTACTTTTAGTATAAATACAGTGCCAGAGCACATAATAAAAGCATCAGAATGGAGTTTGATTATCAGAAAAAAGCCATGAGATGATCGCCAGAGCCCCGACAGAGGGAAGAGAGAAGTCCTCAATTCCTAGACATACCCCTGCACACACCTGACCTCTGTAGGACTGCTGTGTTGGCCCGTGGCCTCCTGTCATTTTGCAAAAGTGACCCCCCAGGCAAGGCAAGCTGAGTTTCCCTGATCCAGATGCTAGCTATTTAAAGTACAGATCACCCCAAAATCAACAAAGCATATTTGTTCTCTTACCTGTAGTGCTACTTATCAGTCTAGATTGTTTTGTTGTGAGTTGCCAAGTGTTGGAGATATCAGCTGTAGAGATGTCTGCCTTCTCTCCAATATAACAGAACTAGATGGTACTACGTTGATGGTGCCCAACCACCAAAGAAATACATTTAAAAAACTCAACAGCAACGTCACTTTCCAGAAATCATGACCCAGTTACTCAAGATAATCCACAGACCTTGTTGTGAGCAGTTTCATGTAGGAACTATTTTCTTTCTACCGAACTACTCCTGCCAACAATATCACTGTACAGAAGGAAGCGTGCATCTACTGCTAGCTCCATTAGCACCACTGAGTTAGTGTTACAGCTCAGCCGAAAGGGACGCCATTAAAAGGCCGAGTATTGTCTAAAAAATGGCTATTACAAGGTTCCTGGTATACCAATGCAATATTTTTCGACTACATTCGATAACCATTGTGTTTACAGAGGTATTTTGTTGCGTAAAATGCCACCACTCTTCTTCATCCAAATTATCTTTACACAGATACATTTTGTAGGTGTTACATTTATCAAAATATTTATAAAATAAGTGTATGAAATTGTACATGCTGAACTGCCAACAAATGCACCACAAACTGTTGTAGCTGGGCTGTAGCTGCTGCAGTAGTGGGCCTCATGGCCCCTGACTATTTTCTTATTCACAAAGAAAATAAATTAATTAACACTGGGATTCTTTTTGTACATGTAGTATAAATACAGTGCCAGATTGCATTAAAACGCTTTAAATAGAGCTTGTTTATCATAAAAAATGCCAGGAGATGATCCTAAGAGCTCCTGACAGAGGTCCAGTAGTGGGCCAATCAAACGTCACAATAAATCGAAGATCACTTACAGTGATCGGCTGCGAGAACAACCATGAAAAATAGTCTTTTTTTTTTCTAGATCTAAAAAAGGATCGAATGTGGGATTCATTTGACTGGAGAAGTTTCAATACTTGGTATTGGGTTATGCCGTTCGATACCTTTATGGTATTAAGTACTGATAGCCGTTAATGTTAACATATTGCATTGGCACGAACCTTTAGTCAATTTGTAGATGCAGGTTTCTTTTGCATTGTGATGCGGTTGGCGGATGTAGTTCAAGAGAAATAAAATAGTTCCTACATGTAACTGCACACAAGGAGGTCTGGATTATCTTGAGTAACCGGGTCATGATTTCTGGAAGGAGACATTGCTGTTGATTTTTCAATCTTTTTTCTTTAGCACTCAGCTTGAGGGCACAAGCTCAGTTTCACGTAGTTACATTATACTAGAGAGAAGGCAGACATCCTAAGGCTGATATCTCCAACACTCAGCAACTCACACCAAAACTAGATCGATGAATAGCACTACAGGTGAGAGGAGAAATATGTATTTTTGATTTAGAGGTGAACTGTCCTTTTAAGGTGTGATTAAATGTTGTTTTTCACAATGAATAACTTCCACAAAAAAAATCTTACTCACTCTAAGAAATATATTTTCTGCAAAAGAGGCAGGGTTGTCTACTTCAGTGAATGCCGGCGGTCCTGTTCCCATGATCCTCCAGCGTGCATAGAGCATTGAGAGTCCTCCAAGACCCATGAGAGCCAATCGTGTAAGCAATCCTGTTCGAAATATCTCACTTACCTGTCAAAAAAATATCACCACTGGTCACTGACACAGAAAAATCAATGTTTGTTAGCTACTTGCAGCTAAGCGCTGTTTCACGACTACAATGAACTTAAATTCATATTGCTTTACATAGAAAGTTTATGTGATGTGACATTAATCATACGAGAGAGTGCATAATTTATGACAGAAGGGAGGGGAGGGGGCGGGAATATAAACTGTAACTCACATCGAGTAGATTCTTCCTAAGGAGTAGCCTCTGGCTAAGTTCATACACATTAACATTACAGATCAGAAGGACATCAAAGGCTGCATTCACACCCTGAAGGAAAATACATAGAGGAAAAAAAGCAGAAATGGCATTTAAAATGTATATAGGTCAGCAACAAAATGGATCTTTAGCTCCCATCATACATATGAAAAACATGAGAATTATTTTTCATGTAAGCAAGAAGAACAAAAAGAGATCACATCAGTTGGTATGTCTTCATAAAGTATTAACTGGGCGAGGATTATTGCTCATGAGGTCTCTCTTTTAACATTGTTCTTACTGAATGTGATGAAAGCATCAACTCACAACAAAATCGCCTTTCAAAAAAAAAAAAAAAAAAAAAAAAAGACTTTGTACCAAGACTGTGATGCCTTGTTCTTTACAGAGCATCGCTGCAGCACACAGCAAGAGGCTGACCACAACCCACTGGACAGAAAACCTGTCATCTCTGTCACTCCCTGGGAACACAAAGCCGAGACCAAGCCGGTTATGGACAGTTCAGGCTCAAAATGTAGGTGTTCAAACATAGATGGATTTTAAAAACAAGCAGCTGCACAATGTTTGATGCTGGCGTTATATACATCTGTGCAGTGCGGTATTACAGTGGACATGAAGAATCATATTGTGTTAAGATACCCACCTCTGTTGAAAGCCTTGCAGTAGGTGAGGAACGACAGCTGGAAGAACAGAGCGCACAAAAGATCTGCTCGGCCCACTATACCAGCCACCTTATTAACACGGAGAAGGGATAAGAAAGCGCAAGAGAGTGAAAATGTGATACTACTACCAAGTATACATTTAGAAACAGCATTATAATATACATCCCATCATGAATTACTGCATTTTGGATTTCATATTCCATTCTGTGCACACATCACAGTCTGTTTTGCATGGGGCATCCAGTTTATTAACAGAGATAGGGAGAAATCTCTCATTACCAGCATGGCTTGTTGGTGTGTGTGTTGTATACAGTGTGTGGGTACAGTATGGCTGGCATCCTGGGGTTGCCTGCTTTGATACATACAGCAGGCCTAAGCCAACAGTCTGCCTGCCTCCCACCCCCCAGGTCTCACCCAGTCCTTGACCTGCATGATTAAAGAGAATGGAGAGGGGGCATTGCTGCCTTCCAGCCAGGCTTTACAGCAAACACACATATGCTGGCAGGTCAATAAGCATCCCAACACAGTTAATAATCAGGCCGTGCTACCACATGCTCCTTGGCCCTGCGCTCCCAGCTGAGACGGGGCTTTTGTTCTTGGCATGGAACCACTGCATGTTTAGTATTGAAACCTCTGGACTAGTATCGAGATACCGTGATGTGCTGCTGTATTTTGTGAAGAAAAGTTTGTTCGCAGGCCAAAAATCACAACCAGTGTTACGTCTCAAAGGGCAGCACAGGTCAACAACGGCAACTGTTTGTGACTCAGCTAAAGTTTAAAGCAAGTTAAAGTTAAAGCAAGCTAGTTCGATTGGGGAACTGGTGCATCGACTATACAGCAAAAATAAGCTGATCTCGTCTTGGCTCGCGATCACGCCATGACCGTGACGCCAGCACACGTGTGTCATCTATACTCTGAGTACATCCTGGCTGTAGATGACTGAGTGGGGACGCTAGAGGGCGCTAGGTGCTTTTCTTTTGTGCAGCATAGTTTTTCTAAGCCACAAAGAAGACAACGTTGCTAAGAAGGTTCATGTTTTGGGAAACTCAGCCCTGCAGCCCAAAACATTTCCTGACTGTATTGCCTCATAGCTACATCGCCTAAGTGACAGCAGATGGAGTTTAACCAAGGGACTGTTAGACTACAACTTGACAAAACAATTGAACGGTATACTAAACATGCAACATGTCTTCTACAGTGGAGTCACTCGCTGCCAGGCAGCTAAACGTTTTACAACTACGGTACTTGGATACAAATATGGAAAATGAGCTAAAGAGAACATTTGAAGAGCTACATGACAGTGTCGAGTCTGTTGCCCACCGCAGACATTGTCTGTCCACAACAAAAGCTTCCTCGGGATAACAATGGATATCACGTCACTGGATATAACGTTACTGGGACTAAAAATCTACAGAAGCGCTACCGCTTAATGTAACGTTACAGCACTGTGGTGAGGCCAGCAGGTCAACAGTGACTTCAGAGATGGTGAGAGACGTGTTTCATTAAGATGCTCTGGTAAGAATTGTTCATATACCTCTATCTGACTTGACTATCTTTTATTGTTTAGGGCTAAAATGTTTTAGTGAAAGTGAACTTCAGTTTGTGAAGGAATACTGCATGCTGCGCGCCGTTTTAAAACCTGGCCAAAAATAACGGAGTAACGCACCGTTTGGTAACGGTAACTGAGTTACTGAATTTAAAAACTAATGCGTTAGAGTATTAGTTACTGCCAAAAGTAACAGCGTTACTGTAACACATTACTAATAACGCGCTACTGCCCAACACTGATCATGACACTGTAAATATTAAGCATAAACTAGGCAGGATTTTTCTAAAAAACAATGTATAGACTCATACTAAAGTAATTCTCTCAATCATCACTTATGACCCACTGGAAGTGTGCAGCAGTGTATTTTCTGTTTCTTATTTTCTGTGTTCGGGACATTAATGGGCGTGTACCCCCCCAGCACTAAGATGAGTTTGGGGCTTTACAAAAAGGTAGCGACCCGGTGCCAGACAGTAAGTAGCCGTCAACCAGAAGACACAGTGCCAAAAATAAGGCAATTATAGCAGAGTGAAATGCCAAACAAAAATGAATCAAAGGTTGGCTTTTACTTTCACTTTCACTGGTGAGCGTGTTTACGAATGATTACTGACAATCCTGCATAATATACCTTTAATTCTATTTCAAAAAATGCCTTTGCCATGCCAAAAGATGGTTGTCAAAGTCAGTGCATGAATATGCAAAATGTACAACACTTTTGATTTCATCATCTGTATGAAGTTACATGTTAACACTTCAGGTTGGTGACTTACTGTGTCAGAAAAATGGAAAAACCAAGAGTAGAAAATGCAACTCTGACACAGAGGAATGTCAGTAAATGGGGGTAAAATCTAGTGAGGGGCAACAGTTGTGTACTGTTGTTGCAGCATACCTCTTGCAGGTCCTGTAAAACTCACCTAAATTCACCTACAACGCCTAACCAACACATACCCAAAGTAAACTGAATGCTGTTCTTGCTCCATTTCAGTACATGTAGATGCACAGTCAGGACAGATGCAGGGCAATAAATTATGGATAATGTGTGAAGAAATATGATGTTTGAAATGATGCAACAGCAGTTTGTGGATATCTATGGATGCAATAATGTGTTTGTTGGATTTAGGTCATCTGGATGACTGGGAGTTTGTGAGAAATGAACCAATAGCTGTGTAAGCAGAGTTTCTGTCATAATAAAGATTATAATAACACTTCATAGATGAGTAGTAACAGTTTGAGCCTGCTGAGGTGGTTGTGTCTTGAAATGAGCAGCAGTACTGGAACCGTGAGGAGTGTAGCTTTCAAATATGTTGTATGAGTGAAACACTTCAACAACAACAAATACAGCTGTTCTTTTCATATCATAAATCATCAAAAAACACCTTAAGGGAGTCCATAGATGGCTTATCTGAGTTTTTAACAGTTTTTTATGGACGTTGTACTGTACTGCATGGTGAGACAGGGTTTCAATAGAGCTTACAAGCCTAACCAAATCTGTCTAAGTTGTATCTTCAACCACACACAGAGACTGTTTCTATGCAAAGTTTTTTGGAGAACCTATGATCTAATGCAATGTGTTAAAAAAGAAGGTTTTTCTGTGTGCTGTATTTGGCAGTTATTGTTTTCTAGCAGCATTTTCTTTTTAGACAACATTATGTCATTTTGTGGGTTGTCTGAAAAGTTTTCATAACACAACACAATAGTTTGCATTTGCTATTGAGCAAACCTGAACACAGTTTAGATGTGTGTACGTGTCACACACCCTCAAATCTGGCACTGTTGTTGTGAATGTGAATCAGTGCGCTCTGCACAAATAACTATCAAAGCCTTCCTCTCTATGTGTTGCTATTAGACTGCTGAGCACTTTGGAGTTCATGGGATGAATAGGGCATGTATGCTATACTGACAATGTATACTGTCAGCACTGTATCTACTGTTCTGTGTATTTAAGCAGTATCACACGAGAGGGAGTGACGTTGTACTATATATCGTCACGGCTGTGATTCGGTCATAGGCACGAGGCCGCAGGACAATTACAGCCGTGACGATATACAGTACAACGTCACGACCTCGAGTGTGATATTGCTTTTATACAACAGTTCAACAACAGCTTAAACAGCAATGCTGAGTAAGGACATGTTAACAAACGCTGATGAAATAAATGATTTAAGTATGTTATGTAGCTCTGCCAGAGAAAAAAACAAAAACAAACAACAGTTCCCCCAGTCTGTTGCCAGGCAATGCAGCACACACGCCAGGAACTCACAAGTTACTTTGTATTTACATTGATCTGCAGCTGTGTAACTTCGTCTAGTTCGGCTGATGAAACGTCAGTGTAGCGAGTGTGACAGTTGGTTAATAAACGGTTGTATTTATATTTATAACACCTGTGAGTGGAGTGATTTTACTGTTACATGTCCCAGTGATGTTGTACTCTATATCAGCACTCATGGAATGCCTCTCGTCCAATCAAATTACTCAGTCAGAACTAACTGTTGTATAATAACAATATATTGCATCTGGTTGTACTACTTGTTTTCTTTAGCGCTACTCTGAGAGCCAAGCATGTAAGAATTCTGATGTTCTGCACAGAAATGAAATCTTGAACTGTACTCACACTTTCTGTGTGGACAGGATGTGCGGCAAAGAAGAGAGCAGCAAGCAGAGAAGTCTTTGGAGCGTGATTCAGTATGCTACCCTTGTCATCATAGGCCAGTCCACCAATCAGTATAGCAAACAAGTCAATCATAAGGGCAGATATGACAGCATGGAGGATGATGTTCAGCACATGGAAGCCAACGGGGTGCAAGCCTCCCGCCAAGAGGTAGTTCAGCCTGCAACAGCAAGAGGGGAAAATACCTTATGTTAAATGCATGACAGATGTAAGAAAGTACAGACGTGTGTGTGTGAGGACAAAAAGTATTAGTCATGTGTTGTATCTGCAGGCTCTATCACCCAGGACAGTAACTGCTAGGATGGAAGCGCTAATAAGTGACCTTGTTGCTTGAGGTGGCAGCAGCGTGCTTAATTGAAGCCTGCACCTCGTTAAGACTGCATGAGCTCCGGCAGGAAGAGCCTGGAGCAAGCTGCAGCCTCCAGGGCTGTCTGCTGATAGTGTCCTTGGCTTCTCAGTCAGATCCTCCCCTTCGGTCCTCCACAGTGCCAGCCTCTCATCCAAATATAGTCGCTTCTGGCTCCAAAAAAACTAAGATGGTGGCAACCATACTGCTTAACTTGAGGCTTCAAAACAGGAGTCCATTAACCAATGGGTGACGTCACGGTGGTTACAATCAATATTTTCACTCTCTATGTTCTGGAGTGAATGGGAGGGAGGACTTGCGACCTTGCGAGGTGTCCCCCTGCCACAGTGCTGTGCAGCACTAGACTCAGACCAGCCCAGTGACTGGCAACAGATGCACATTTTCCGTAATGTCTCCAAGCAGGCCTTAGTCTGTCTCATACCTACACACAGAGGATGAGGAGGGACACATCCAAGTGTACTTTTGTTTGCAGACATAAAGAGAAGCTTCAGCATATTACCAGGCTGCCAGACCATACACAAGTGCCAGAGCAGCTGCACAGACTACTGTAAATGGGAGCCAAACCAATAAGCCCAAGATCAGACTAACCAACCATCTGCCTGGGGCTCTACACACCTCTTTTCTAAATGCAGACATACTGATGTGAAAGCTGACCTAGATGTAGATCCTGATGCAGGTAGCCACAATGGTAATTACAGTCCATTTCTTTCTGTGTTTGCTTTCAGTGTTGCAAATGATCCATGTAAAAATTGTGGTTATTTGGAAAGCTATAAGAGGCTCACACAGTTGCATGAGTCCTTGTTCACCCGGATCGCTACAGTAGCCACTAGTACAGAGTCACAATAGCCACATTTATGATAAATACACCAGAATTTTCCTTTGATATAACATGTACTCTAACGGTTAAAGTGTTAGCAGGAACTATGTCGAGGTGGCCTGTTAATCAATGTAAGCACCTGCATGTTGATCAAATTCAATTATTTTTTGTAACCATGGTATAACATCAGTGTCTGAGCTCACACGACAGATATATATGCCCTTACCGAAATGTAAGGACAGTGAGAGGTCGGTAGGATTTGTGACTAGAGTTGCTACTCAGGTTGCTCCCCCAGAAGTCATTGCTCCAGATGTTGTTCAGAGGTGTTGCTGGTCTTAAGTCCTGAAACAGAAACACACAGTTAGACTGATGCTGCAGAGGCAGTGCCGTAAAATGTACAACAACACATGTGAGTAAGAGAGACAAATACCTTGTTGTTGACAATTGCTTCAGAATCATCAAACACAAACTCCCCATCATAGCTGTTGATGAAGCACAGGAGAGCCACCAGGGCGACAGTGACCTTGGCCCGGACTGGAGCGAGCTTTGGAAGGGGTATCTGGTGATCCCAATAGACTTCACACAATGCCATGATGCACCGGGTCTTTGGTCATTCTGTATCATCCTCTGGTCCCTGAGGGGGAGAGGATGGGTGCAGGCAGAGAGCAGTCACATTGTGTCACCTGCTACAATCACAGGTTGTAAACACTAATAACAAGCTTAATAAAGAAGCATGGCCTTAATAAAGTAGGTGAAATCATACCTTATCTTCTAAGAGACATACAGTGAGAGGTCACCGTGGCTTGTGTAACTCCCATGTTAGCTCATTTGCTAGCTAGCAAACGTAAAACCTGGCGACGGAGCCAATACTCGCACCTGCACAAAAACGTTGTGATTAGTTTTGCAGTTTGAAACAAAGAGGTTAAATCATGCCGCTTATGACGGTGAAGGGTAACGTTACCTTGGAAGTTAGCAGGCTAATAAAGCATGACTTTAGCATGTCTCGTTAGCGGCTGCTATTCCCATTTACACGGCACAAACATGACAGGCGCGCGGTAGAAACTGTACCGGTATCGCGCGCTACCTATTTAAAATGTTTCGCCAAAAACTGACAAGATTTTCAGTCACATTAGACACCACCGGCGAGATGCAGAGGGACAACTCGCGGCTGTAAACAAATATACACGCTCAAGCTGCAACACTTCCGGTCTAGCGTAAGGGTCACGTGTTCGTTTTCAGCCAATAGCTGAAAAGCTGCAGTCTTCTTCTTCTTGTACTTTTCCTTCTTCTTCTTCTTCCTTTCCGTCTTGTAGTTTTTCTTCTTCTTCTTGTACTTTTGTCTTTTCCTCTAAGTTTTTCTTCTACTTCTTCTTCTTGTAGTTTTCTTTCTTCTTCCTTTTGCTCATGTAGTTTTTCTTCTTCTTGTAGTTTTTCTTCTTTTTCTTTTCCTCTTCTTTAAGTTTTTCTTCTTCTTGTAGTTTTCCTTCTTCTTTTTCTTCTTCCTTTTGCTCTTGTAGTTTTTCTTCTTCTTCTTCTTCTTGTAGTTTTCCTTCTTCTTTTTCTTCTTCCTTTTGCTCTTGTAGTTTTTCTTTTTCTTGTCCTCTTCTTTAAGTTTTTCTTCTTCTTCTTGTAGTTTTCCTTCTTCTTTTTCTTCTTCCTTTTGCTCTTGTAGTTTTTCTTCTTCTTCTTGTAGTTTTTCTTCTTTTTCTTTTCCTCTTCTTTAAGTTCTTCTTCTTCTTCTTCTTCTTCTTCTAGTGTTCAGTGAGATTGGTAAAGTTGAGTTAATGGCAAATGGGGCACAGCATGGTTTCATTAATTTCACATACACACATACAGCATACTGTGAAAGGTCTTACAGGTTAAACAACGCAACACATGTACTTTAGTCTCTTAGAGAACTTTATTGTACTTATAGTTTAAGAAAACAAATACAAACTGACGGTTTTTTAGCTGAGGTAAAAAGTTGATTCAGTTCTTCGGTTTCCTTCACTTCTTCCAAAGATCTGGAGGTTATCAATCTCATTCTGCTAGACTAGACTAAGAGGTGCCAGGTTTCAGGAGCAAGTTAAACACTTTGTTGCCTACTTCATGTAAAATTCTGCTTCAGAGGCTTTTCCACCCTGACTAGAATACAGGTCTCGGATACAACAATGAATACTTAGTGTGACCATGTTTAAAGATATTGAGCATTGTGCAAAATATTGTCAATCAGTAGCTTCAGTTCAAAAGAATCTGTATCAGGAAATGTGTGAATAAATGCACATGTACTGACAGTGAGAAGTAGACTGAATGAGGAAAAACTGAGACATGTTATTGAAACTGCACTTAAAAATATTGGCGATGATGGAAGTTACATGTTATGCTGAGATGGTCATAGTGCTCCGGCCCATCCAAAATCAATTGGGCTGTATGTGGCCCATGTAATAAAATGAGTTGACACCCCTGCTTTACAGTATATAAACAGACCTTGTGTTTTAATGCAGTGGTTCCCAGCTGGTGGGTCAGGGTCCAAAAGTGGGTCGCTGGTCCATTCTGAATGGACCTCAAGTGACTCAAACATGTCAAGTTTGTCTAAAACACACTATTTTGAAGTAAAGTAAATTTCCAGCAAAGAGCTTTTATTTTGAATTGCTGTTTCCTGCTGTAGAGTGAGTGACTAACAGACAGCTACTTGTCAGAGACATCAACTAGCTCAACAACATGGCCACACACAAGTATGACGCTGAATATATTAAACTGTGTGGACCTTGGACTAATGACTAAGGAGAAATCTGGACCCTGTGGCTGGACCAGTTGGGAACCAGTGCTTTAATGCAGCTCATGATTTTGGATTATTATATTTACCTTTCTCTTACTGTGATTTCTTTTTTTCCTAATTTATGTAAAGGTTGAATCTTGTAGTTTTTTCAATGCAACAGTTTGCTTTAAAATCGATCACTTCCTCCAGTCCCTTTGACTCTCTCCTGCTCTGTCTATCTACTGTACAATTGCTGGCTCTGCCTCTGACATAATGTTCTCATCCTGTCATTGATTGTCCATCCCTGTTTTCCTTTTGCTGAACTGCTGATGCGTCAGATCAGAGATCAGTGCAGAATACCGTCAATCAGGCTGGCCTACAGTATGTGAACACACACACACACATACACACTTATTGGGTGGCTGAGTGAGTGAGTTACAATCTGTCTCTAGTAACTTTTTTCTCCATTCTCTCATCATAAAGTTAACCAACTTAAATATGAGGAAGTAAACACACCAGATTGCAAGGTTATATAGATGTGTTACTGTAACAACTTGGTCAGTGTTTGTCTAAAATGGAGAGAGCTTTGTTTTGTCTATACATGTTTCTATTTTACTTTTATTTAACCTCTTTTTAACCAAGAAGTCCCTTTGAGATTGAAATTCTCTTTTAATCGAGAGGCCGAGGTAGCATCCAATCAGAACACATTTAAAATGCAACAAATACAACATATAACACAAAAATCCACAATAAAACAACAAGTATTCAAACATAGTGGCCTCTCAAGAAAAACAAGCACATGTCTCTGTCACCACATTCTTTATGATGGCCTTAAATTTATCGATGGATATAAATGTTTCTAGTTTTGGATCTTTTAGAAGATTGTTCCATGTTCTTGGTGCAGAGTAGGAGAACGCAGTTTTCCCCAGATGTGTTAAACGCAAGGGTACATTAAAAAGCAACCACTTGGAGGAGCGTAGCTGGTAATGACCAGTTATACCAGTGCTGTTGTCTGCAAGTGGTCATTGCCGTCCAACCCACCAAATCATAAAGAATGCAGTGATGAGTGACAGACTTTGCACTTGTAATAAAACGTAGAGATGCATGGTACACTGAATCAAGGCTGCGTAAAATGGAACAGGGTTGCGTGCATGAATATAGAGCCTGGTCTGAAGTCGTCGTCGAAATCTGGTGCTTGGGCAGTGACTTGCGGCATCAGAAACCAACAAAAAAGGCGTCCTTTGACATCAGCATGATACGTAGCAGGTTGTTTTTATAGTATAATGGTGGTCGGCGGCATCAGGGGGAAACACGGAGGGACAAGGACGAAAGTCAAAGTGGGATGGGCCAGAGGGGTGGTGGATGGGTCCAACAAACCCTGACTTTCACTCTAGAGAGCGGTGCTCGCGTCCCGTAAGATTCTAAAGCCAAAAACTGTTCTTTTTTGCTAAACCTAACCACTTGTTTTTGTTGAAGGGAAAAAAAACGTCAATTCACGGTGTTGTTCCGACATAGTGCGTTTATTTTGAAAGAGACTGCATTACCTGTGAGAACAAAAGTGTATTTTAAAAGAAGGCAATGCATGTAATAGGCAGAACTTGACACGGTGTCCCAGAACATCAACAACCAACTCACGTCGTATGTGGACGTGGAAAGTCCATGACCAAGCACGTCAATATGTGATGAGGTCTGAGTGAGAATTCATTGGTCTTTACCACCTTGAAAGGCGTAAACATGAAATGTAATGTTGATAATGTTGAGTCATAGTGTATTATGCATTTTGTTTGTGGTATTGAGAGGTATGGGATCACTTGGCCATGAAACTGTTACAGTAGTTTATACACTGAACAAAAATATAAACGCAACACTTTTGTTTTTTCTCACATTTTTCATGAGCTGAACTCAAAGATCTAAAACATTTTCTATATATACAAAAGACCATTTCCCTCAAATATTGTTCACAAATCTGTCTAAATCTGTGTTAGTTAGTATTTCTCCTTTGCCGAGATAATCCATCCCACCTCACAGGTGTGGCATATCAAGATGCTGATTAGACAGCATGATTATTGCACAGGTGTGCCTTAGGCTGGCCACAATAAAAGGCCACTCTGAAATGTGCAGTTTTGCTTTATTGGGGGGGGGGGGTCAGAAAACCAGTCAGTATCTGGTGTGACCACCATTTGCCTCACGCAGTGCAACACATCTCCTTGGCATAGAGTTGATCAGGTTGTTGATTGTGGCCTGTGGAATGTTGGTCGACTCCTCTTCAATGGCTGTGCGAAGTTGCAGGATATTGGCAGGAACTGGAACACACTGTCGTATACGCCGATCCAGAGCATCCCAAACATGCTCAATGGGTGACGTGTCGGGTGAGTATGCTGGCCATGCAAGAACTGGGATGTTTTCAGCTTCCAGGAATTGTGTACAGATCCCTGCAACATGGGGCCGTGCATTATCATGCTGCAACATGAGGTGATGGTTGTGGATGAATGGCACAACAATGGGCCTCAGGATCTCGTCACGGTATCTCTGTGCATTCAAAATGCCATCAATAAAATGCACCTGTGTTCGTTGTCCATAACATACGCCTGCCCATACCATAACCCCATCGCCACCATGGGCCACTCGATCAACAACGTTGACATCAGCAAACTGCTCACCCACACGACACCACACACGCTGTCTGCCATCTGCCCTGAACAGTGAAAACTGGGATTCATCCATGAAGAGAACACCTCTCCAACGTGCCAGATGCCATCGAATGTGAGCATTTGCCCACTCAAGTCGGTTACGATGACGAACTGCAGTCAGGTCGAGACCCCGATGAGGACGACGAGCATGCAGATGAGCTCCCCTGAAAAGGTTTCTGACAGTTTG